ATGGGATGGCTGGGTCAAATGGTATTTGTATTTCCAACTTTTGAAGGAATCGCCATACTGCTTTCCACAATGGTTGTACCATTTTACAGTCCCTCTGTGGGATATTTTTACAAGGGTGTTTTTTAGATGAAGATGTTGGATTGGTTCTTGATCTTTTGAAAGTAAGTTAAAAATAAGATTAACGGCTCTTTTTCTTTGTCTAGTCATGCTGTTACAAATCATACTTTGCATCCTTGGAGTTTGTTCAGTGCTCTATAGGCCTTTTTTTTTCCCCTCTGGAGTTGTAGATTATGCAACTATTTGGCAGAGCAGCACAATTTAGTTTACCTGCTGATGCAACAGAGTAATGATCCTCATATAGAAGACAGCCTGTTTTTTCAAAAAGATGGTTTAGAAGTACTAAGATAGAGGAAGGCTTATTACAGACAGCTTCATTATCAGTGGATCATCTTTTAGCTAGCCAGTTCATTTAATGAGTTGATACTTTGCTGAGGGGGCTCCTTTGCCCTCTTGTAAGTGATCCTTTTACTTATACCTCCCACCCTTGTGAAGTCCAGGGAGGTTGCCCTCTTTCCGGAAGTGAAATACCCCAAATTCACTTCACAGAACTCTAGAATATCAGAGCTGCAGGATTACCTGGATTCTAACTAAAAAGGGTCCACTGACTTGCATGGCCTCATTTTAGAGTTGTAGAGAGACCCAGGTATATGCAGTTAACATGTCCAGTGCCAAATAGTGATTGAGTATCAGACCTTCTGAAGCTTGAGCAGAGGCTTTTGAATCTTAGTCTAATGCCCTTTAGTAATACTGTTTGGCTTCTGATGAGTTTTTGGGAATGTACCAGATGACCTAAGGCAAACAATACTATAAAACTTTTTTATTTTTTTATATTGGGAGTCAAACAGTGGAGTGGCAGCAGAAGACCTGGCTCCTGGTCCCAACTTGATCCCTTATTAGTCATGTGATCTTGCAGAATCCCCTTCACATCTCCCAGCCTTGATTAATTTGTCTCTTAGAACAGGTGCTGTTTAATAGAAATATAATAATAGCCATATTTCAAATTTAAAAACAAACAGGTGAAATTGATTTTAATAATGTATTTTACTTAGTCCATTATATCTGAAATATTATTTCAACATGCAGTCAATATGAAAATTATTAGTAAGCTACATCTCAATTTGGATGAGTTACATTCAGATGCTCAGTAGCCACATGTAGCTACTGTATTGGACAACACAGTTATAGAACCTTAAAACGTTAGGATTGGAAAAACTGTTAGTTGCACACTGACAACCCATCCAAAACTCACTGCCATTGAGTCGATTTGACTCATAATGACCCCTCCTTGGGTTTCTGAGGTGGTATCTCTAGGGAAGTAGATTGCCCAATCTTCCTTCTGAGGAGTGGCTGGTGGGTTTGAACCACCAGCCTTCTGGTTAACAGTCATGTACCTTATGCACTACACCAGGCCAAACTATTGCCTGTGGTCTCATTTTGTTTGACTTTCAGGTAAAAAAAAACCCTTCATGTGAATGCCTTTTAGATAGGCATGTGCTTTTTGGATTACACAGCCCCCACCCATCTCTCTTGTTACCAGTGCCATTGGTTATATTGTCTGCCCTTCTAGACCAACTTCCCTCCCTTCCAATTTTTATCAGGTGAAACTAAGGCTTGGAGAGGAAGTGATTTGTCTAAGGTCACATACCAGATCCAGGAATAGAAGCCAGAGTCACTTGACTCTGGATTGCTCTCTTTCTATTAAATCACAATGTCAGTCAGTTGCATCCTTGTGTACATAGCACAGGATTGTTACGAGGTTCAGAGGAGCAAGAGTGCTAAGTACATATGATGTGATGGTATTATATTTCCTGTTGGCAGAGTGTGCATGCAGTGAAATAATCTTTTTTAAAAAAAGTTTACGCGTCAGTACATCCTTTAACCTGTTATTTAAAAAATATTTTTGTAAGCACCTATTTGAAAAATGGAGAAAATAGAGAAACATATGTCTTACACATGGTAGATGCTGAATAAATATTTTTTGAGTGAATAAATGAAAGAAGTCACACATTCCCATTCCTTAACAAAGTACTAAGAACACTTGCCTCATTTCCTATGTGTAGAATTTTGTAAAATCTTTTTATCGCTACACATGAGTTTTGTATCTTGCCTTGCTCCACTCGCAATTGCAGCATAAGTATAAAACTTCTTTTCCAAACTTATACTGTTTTCTGTCACTTTGAACTAATGTTCCTCTATGTCTTTTGTTCCCCTTCTGTTTGTTTCAGATTCAGGAGAGCTATATGTTTGGGGGAGCAACAAACATGGGCAACTGGCAAGCCAGGCTGCTTTCATTCCTGTGCCCCAGAAAATAGAAGTACGTTTTTTTCAGAACGAAAAGGTCACTGCCATCTGGAGTGGGTGGACACACCTGGTTGCCCAGACAGGTGAGAGAGCAACAGAAAATTTGTGGTTGGTAAGAGCAGCTGGGGGACAGCTGTCTCAATAGCCACGAATGCTTGGGATTAAGGAAGTTGTACTGATGAAAGTTTTAAGGATTGGAAAGGGGAGGACCTGGAGTCTTTTTCTGCGTTCGGCCAGCTATGTGACTTTTCCTTTTTGAGTCACAAATTTTCATCAAAAAAGGCAAGGTTGGGTAAGGTTAACTCTTTCTGACCCTAAGAGTCCCTGAGGCTTTGAGACGGAATCTACTGTAGCAATCATCACCCAGAAGTTTGTCCAAATTGGTTGGGGAGTCTTGTCACAGCTGAAGAGGTGACTCACTTTGCATTTCTACCTAGGTCTAAGTTACAAGTGCCAGCAAATGTTAAGATAAAGAGAAATATTTCAAGACTGAGGCAGGAGCATTATTTTGGATCATAGCTGGCATGGTGTTCTGAATTAAACTTTTATTGACCATAACAAACTATGTACATCGATTCAGACATCCCATATATTTCCTCAGATGTTACCGTGTCATGCTATACATACAACTTTTGACATCTTTATGTTCTCTTGAGTCTTCATTTCTTTCTCATCTTTCCCTCAGTGCAGGTCTTTTCTCCTGGCTTTCACAGTCCTTACTTACTCTCTGGTTTTATTTTTCTTGTGGCCTCTCTTCATGCCTACTTCCCAGAGCTCCTGCTGATTTACACAGACTCCCCTAGACAGGCACTTTGTAATTCTTACGATTTATTATCATGTCAAGGCCTTCTGAACTTCAGGGGTTTTCAGGAGTCCCCTTGCCTACTTTTGTCCTGCTTGTTAGCTACCCAGAGACCTACAGACTCCCAGATACCTAGAGACTGTATGTCAGAACTTGCTGAGTTTTGTAGATTTTCCGGTCAGCTTCAGTTATCCTTGGTAAGTCACACATCACAATTGTACACACAGACATATGAGCATTTGTAGCTATGATGTTTTCAACTGGTCTTTTAAAAAAGTTTTATAATCATCTTGGGACAGAGGCCTGCATCATAAAGGTATATAATAAACTTTCTGTATTTACCAATTCAGAGGATGCTCTAAAGAAAGTGTGTCATTCATTTGGAGGAAAAGCATGACTTCCCTGAAGACGGTTCAGACTGCTTGAAGATCAAGACCACTTACAGAAACTTTTTCTTAGAGTCTCACTGACCATGAACCAGTTGCTGTCAGTCGATTCTGACTCATGGTGAACCCACGTGTGCAGAGTACAATGGTGCTTCATAGGGTTTTCAAAGCTGTGATCTTTTGGAAGCTGGTCACCAGGCCTTTCTTCTGAGGTGTCTCTGGGTAGGTTTGAACTGCTAACCTTTTATTTAACAGTCAAGCATTTAACCATATATACCACCCCAGAATGTCTTCGCTTAATATAGTAGCTGCTTATTTGTATAATTGTTTAATATTTGTCTTTTCCTCCAGACCCCAACCTTTGTGAGGAAAAGCACCATATTAGTCTTGCTCACTTCTATATCTCCACTGCCTTGTGGAGAACGTACTCATCTTCCTGTACCAACCTGTTTCTAGTTAAAAGAGACTAAACATCCTCAAATACATACAAGGCATGGTAGAAGGCAAGGATTGCTGACCTCTTCACTAAGGCTCAGTGGCAGAAGCCTCTGGTTCTTAACAGAGAGCTTCAGTTTGTCTCTTTGGATTCAGGAATCCAACCAAATCAGTTATTGTTTATTAAGTACCTGTTGAGCAGTGTTTTAAGCCTTGGAGAAATAGAGGAGAAAAGACGGGCCACACCTTCCAACTAGAAGGTATAAAGTAGACTTAAGTTTAAGAATGTAGAGTGGAAGACTTTACATTCCACCCATCCATCCTTTCATCCATCCAAGAAATGCTGAGGATCTCTTTATGTACTATGTCCATTACTAGCTACAAATCCTGCCTTTAAGTAGTCCACACTGCTCACTTGGGAAGATAGACCTGTAATTAAATTAAACTGCACTCCAGTGTGAGTCAAGTACAGAGTGCGAAAGTAGCATACAGACTATGTAGAGAATGTGGTTAGGGAAGGATTTTCAGAAGACCTATGTAGAATCTGGGCTGGATTTGAAGGCTGAATATGACAGATGTCATAGGATGAAAGGCATGCTAGCACGTTGCTACTCAGAATTTGTCTGTGGACCAGCAGCATCAGCATCACATGGAGCTTGTTAGAAATGCAGACTCTCAGGCCCTGCCCCAGGCCTTCTGAATCAAATAACAGTTTTACAAGTTCCCTTGGTGACTTTTTTGGACATTAAAGTTTGAGAAACACTGACCTGGGATACCCTGTCCTTCAAAACATAATGATCTCTGTTTTAGGAATGGGCTGTATCTGTCTTCAAATTGTTTTGTATAAATTATTACTAAATAAAGTCAGAATCTGGATAAAAAACTTGAGGGTACTTTTAAAATATCTTTGAAGCAATTTATTTTTTTGCTAAGGCAAATTATTTTTATGTATTTATTAAAGTCCTTTATATTGAACTAGGTACTGCTTTGTTAGTTTATTTTAACTTGAATCATGCTAATACAATAGAGAAGTTTTTATTTTCAACTCTTGCAATGCAAAACTCTAGCCCTAGGCGTATGCCATTCATAGCCTGAAAATCAAGGTAGGGTAACTTTTCCAATCAAATCCAACCCAGTGCCATTGAGTCAATTCCAACTCATAGTGACCTTGTGGGACAGAGTAGAACTGCCCCCTAGAGTTTAGGCTGTAAATCTTTATGGAAGTAGACTGCTTCATCTTTCTCCTGTGGAGTGGCTGATGGATTCAAGCCACCAACCTTTTGGTTAGCAGCCATATGCCTTAACAACTGCTCTCCCAGAGCTCCTTAGAGTAACTTTTATTGAGCATCTATTGTATGCCAGTACTGGATCCTAGGTACTTTATCTGCTATGTCATATAATCTTCCCATGAAGTGAGCATTTATGTCCCCATTTTATAGGGAAGGAAACTGAGGCTCAGTTTCAGCAAGTGTCCCAAGGCCACTTTGGAAGAAGTGGTGGGAGGGGATTCAAACTCATGTTGGTCTGACTCCAGAATTCATCCTCCAATAAGCATAGAAATTGCTCTTAATTTGTCTAGCATATCTTATATATTAGACCTTCCGAATAGACTGACCACTGATTTGGAAAAATAATTTTGTGTGTATAGCATATTTCATTCATCCAGAAATAGGTGAAAAAGAGATTATTTTGGTTAACTATATACAGTAGTCTGAGTAATTGGGTGTTAACAGGTAGGCGTCTCATGGTTAGTCAGTCTTCAAAGAATTACAGTGCAATAAAATACACTTACTCTCAAATGGTGGTGTGTTTGGTTGAGTCTGTTAGTAAATCCTTTAACTAGTTAGGTAGTTGATTAATGAAAGACGTAAAGATGCTGCTTCTTTGATTTTAGGTTTGGAGTGTTGTAACTGATACTGATTCTCACATCTGGGCCAGCAGCCCAGCCCTCAGGGTGGGAGGTTGGAACTCACATCCCTGACACTGTGTGAGTCACCCCAGCTGCTCTGGAGCTCAGCTTCAGGTCTCCACCTCCACTCGAAAGCATGGGTTTTTGGTAACGTTTCAGCTGTCTAATTAACTTGTTCATTCAGGTCTCTTGTTTATGTTCTTTGTCACTTGCCTCTTTCTCCTAAGTCCAGAAGTTAAAACCTGGGTTTTTTGCAGTGTCCTAGTTGTTGTACTGACTTTTGGGTAAATGAGAGTCTCCTGCTGTTTATTTGATTCACCATCTTTGAGCTCTTTCTGTCATCAGTGGAAGCCCTTTCCCTGGCACAGTGTCACTGAGAAGAAACTCTCAGGGCTTCCAGTTTAATCAGATTCAGCTGCTCACATTAATGGAAACAAGATTTCCCAGCAGAGTCAGAAACAGCTCATTAGTGGAACAAGGAATTACTTGACTCTTGTTTTCACAAGCTCCAGTGATGAATTGTTCCTGGGACCTACATCATGGCCACATCAACACAGAGCTGCTCAGTCTCCTTCTGGGAGGCATTAGTTGTGTGACATTGATTATGCCTAGGACTGTTTATCTGGCCAGGAAAGATGGGATGGGATGGGAGAAAGAAAGGAAGAGGACTTTGCTTTTCCCTTTCTCCATAGTCCCTAGACCAGTGAATCTTAACCATAGGTGGTTTTGTACCCTAGAGGATATTTGCAGTGTCTGGAAACATTTTTGGTTGTCACAACTGGGGTACACCACTGGTGTCTAGTGGGTAGAGACCAGGGCTGCTAAGCATTCTACAGTGTTATGGCAGCCCCCCATAGAAAGTTCAGACATAGTGTCCAAAACTGACATGCCCAGTGGTTGGTGGTTAGCAATGGTAATTCACGTATATCAGAATCCCTTTACTGTGTGCCTGGATGGGAATCTGAGATGCGTTCTCTGCCCTGCCCCCTCTGGAGTCTGGTGCCTGCCTGCAGTGCCTGTGATGGAAAAATACTTTTCTGTTAGTCAGAAGCTCTTGGAGAAAGTCCAAAAGAACCTGTTCTAATCTGGGAAAGTTGGCAAGGGTACCTGTATCTCCAGGCTGCTGGAGCTGCATTCTAGAAACCTTTCCCAAACTGCTTAATGTCCCTGATCATTGTTCTCAGGAACTTCATGGGACTCCTGGGTGTCTTCATCCAGGCTCAGTGACCTGCAGCTGTCTCACCTGAGATTGATGATTTCCTGGGCCGAGGTGCTTCTAGTGAGAATTGGATGGCAGATCCAGATGCTTTCCTAGTTTGGTGTCCTTGGTTAAGTCACTTCATCTGACTAGGCCTTAGTTTCTTCATCACAGGTAGGATATTACAACCAGCCTGCCCTCTCCAGAGGGCTGCTGTGAGGTTCAAATGAATGAATCTGTGTGATAGAGCCTAGCTAACCATAAAATGCAGTGTGCACATAAGTGAGGGGGCCTGAGGTTGGGATATGTGAGTGAATTAAGGAGTCAGTAGTTGCTTTTAGGAAAACTTCCAT